CTGATGCTGAAGCAAATAATAATCCGTGGCCTGGTGCTCCTTTAAGGTAAGTCAACACCTTATAAGCGGCATTTAAATGAGGCATTCTAGGATTTTGGATATATTGGCTGAGCAGTTGAACTGAGTATGCTAGATCTGGTCTTGTCACAGTCAAGTATAGCAATCTTCCTATGAGTCTCCTATAGGTAGAAGGTTTTGATAAGAGTTCTCCCTGCTCCTTAGACATTTTGATGTTTTGGTCAAGCGGCGCTTCTACCGGCACTGCCCCAATCATCCCTGAATCAGCCAAGATATCCAATGCATACTTTCTTTGACAAATGTGAATTCCTTTCTTTGATCTTGCTACCTTTATGCCAAGAAAATATCTCAAGGCACCCAAGTCCTTGATTTTAAAACTTTCATCAAGTGGGTTTTTGAGAGAATGAATGACTTCCATATTGTTTCCCGCCACTATAACATCATCCACATATACCAGTACAGCTGTGAATGAGTCATTTGTGCTCCTCGTGAATAGGCTATAATCTGATTTTGATTGTTGAAAACCTTGTTGTAGCATAAAAGATGACAACTTTGAGTACCATTGTCGAGAGGCTTGTTTTAGTCCATACAAACTTTTGTTAAGTTTGCATACCTTCCTCTGATCGTTAGTTGAATAACCCGGTGGAGGTTCCATATAGACTTCTTCATTGAGATCCCCATGTAAGAACGCATTGTTAACATCCAGTTGATGCAAGTGCCAGCCTCTGATTGTTGTTATAGCCAAGATGGTCCTAATAGTCACCATTTTTGCCACTGGTGAGAAGGTTTCATGGTAGTCAAGACCCTCAATTTGGGTATATCCTTTAGCCACCAGCCTGGCTTTCTTCCTTTCTTCTGTTCCATCTGCCCTGAACTTGATTTTGTACACCCATTTATAGCCTATAGCTACTTTTCCAGGAGGCAAGTCCGTTACAGCCCAAGTGTCATTCAACTCTAGAGCTTTTATTTCAGCATTCATGGCATCTCTCCACTCAGGGTGTTTGCTAGCTTCCTGAAATGAGTTAGGTTCTGTGTGTGTAGAGATAAATGAGACAAAAGCTTTGTGTGATTCAGATATTTTGTGATATGATAGAGTAGCACATAGGGGAAAAGGAGAACCTGCTATGACTGGACCTTTACCCTTGTCCAAATTTTGTAAATG